GTGTGGGATTAACCACGTGCTGGGTCTGCTCCCTGATACTGAAGCCGTGTCTTTCTCCTTGGCGTTTCAGAGTTCGAAGAAACAGTGAGAAGTTTGGAAACTCAGAAAAAGAAAGGAAGCGTCTGAATAAGAAGGCAGCATCCTCAGCCAACCTCCTCACCCGCTCCCCCAGCCTGGAGAAGTGAGCCACGCTGTGAGCCATCACTCACAGCTGTCACCACACACACACACACACGCACACATACGCACACTCACTTTTTCCTACAGTCACAGCAGTCACTCATGACACTCCAAGACAGTTGTTGGAAGATTGTGACTGATGGTCCCTCTGAATTATAATCGAATTCCATTCCCATGAAAACACATAGACACAGCATTTGCATGTGAAGTGAGGATCTGCTGCAGATGAATTTGTGTGAAGTGCTCTCACATTCTTTCTGTCTCACGTTTTTGTCTCCACAGTCGAGCCAAAGATTTGATCGCCAATGCAGGTATGATTATTTGCACTCATCTGTCGGGCCTCGGGTTCGTCACTTTGTTTATTATTTTGGGGACTGAGCTCGACTCATATTTAAAACTTAATGATTTTTAGAAAAATATAAAATATATTGTCGCGTAGATTGCTGGTTCCCTGATCTTCCTGGGTCTGTCTCTGTGGAGTTTACATGTTTTCACTATATGTGTGTAGGTTTTCAGTCTGAAATCCTGTTTCCTCCTACGGAGCAAAACCAGGCAGATTAGGGATTAGAACCTATGGCAGGTAACCTGATGACTGCAGTCAGCGGTGACCAGTGTTGACTTCAGTGTTTCAAAGAAGACAATTTTTAATACTCTTTGTATAAAATTAGGTCAATTATTCACAAAATATAATTTTACTCACAAATAAATATTACATGTAGACAGCAGATAAGCATCACACGGTGAATAATATAGTTTATATATATTTATATATACATATATAATTATATTTATATATAAGCATGTATGAATATGTGCAGTATATGTATGTATATACAGTACGCTATTTATATACAATTATATTTATATATGGTTATATATGTGTATATATACAGTATATGTGTACATATATTTATACATATTGATTGTAATATGGTGCATTAAATAAATGCACCATATTTCCACCAATAAAAATAGCCTGTTAGTACTGAAATCATAATTTAATACAAAATAAATAAAAAATAAAAAATAAATAAATACAAAGAGAAAAGGTGCATTCTACAAGTTTTCCCTCCTCGTAGAACTTGGATGCAACATTTATTGCAAATAGCCAGAGAAACTTCTTCTTCTGACATGTTGAAACAGTCCCACACTACCGCCGCAATGTTGTGTGTTTACAAATGTATGACACACATTGTGCTGCATTGACGTGATGACAAAGGTTCCCCTTCCCGTTTTGCGAGTTGTTTTTCCCCACCTCTTTATGTTCACATTTCTTTTGTTTATATCTCACGTACTGGTTTCGGGTAAAATACAGTGGAAGAGATGTTATTATCAAGTCAGTAAGTACAAATATTTGGACCCAGTTGAGATATTGGTTTTTTCAGATTATCGCATACCGTTTCAACGCAGCACTCAATCCAGGTCTCCTTAGGTGCAGTGGGTAGTGAATGGGAGTGCCTGATTAACCATCACCTTAGTGAGCAGAAAACACATAACTTCCACCACTGCCCCGCTATATCGGTATCCGTTGTTATCGGAAATCGGAAATTCAGTGTTTGGACAATATCGGAATATTGGATATCGGCAGAAAGTTAATATTGGACATCCCTAATATATATATATGTATATATATATATATGTGTGTATATATATGTATATATATATGTGTATATATGTATATATATGTATATATGTATATATATGTTTATAAATATATGTATATACATACATATGTATATATATATTTATATATGTACGTATATATGTGTATATGTGTATATATGTATATATATATGCATACATGTATATATGTATATATATGGTGGTATATGTGAGGTATATGGTATATATGAATGTGTATATATATATATATATGGTTGTATATGGGTAACTTGGCAGCTGGTGGACTCGAACATATATACTGTATGTATATGTTTAAATATATACACATACATATGTATTTATATATACTGTATATCCACATATATATATATACACACATGTATATTTATATATGTATTAAATATTTGTGTGTATGTGGTGAAGACGAGCGTTCAACACTATTATCATAATTATAAAGGGACTGTAGTAGAAAGAAAAAGTTTAAAACAGAGTTTTGTAAGGGCATGTCCATTTCTGGACATTAAGACCAGAAAAGGTTCAGACAATTGAGCGTCACGATAAACGTCGTTCCAGTTGGACACAGGACGCACATCTGTTGTCCGCATCACAGATGTAAGAAAAGAAAACTATATTTCATTGCGTAGCGAGTAGAGATGCACACGTGCGTGTCTGCATCTCCACATTTTTTTTATTAAAGTCTTCTTAATTTAAATCTTTCTTCTCATCATCATCTAGTTTTTTGTCATTTGCTCTAGTAATACTAAAACAAAAACACTAACATAAATTTAGCCATCTTTGGATTCAACAGGACTCCTGTGGAGTTCAGCTGCATTGGCTGAGCCTTGTCGCATGTCTGAATATTTCTCGCTGGAATTTCTCCTGTTTTACTGCGTGCTGACATGACTGCTGCCAAGTCTGGCCTTAAACTATGCTTCAGTACCCGTGCCCAGGCAGCCTCTCTCTTTTTCGCACATGTAGTCATTTGTGCAAAAAATGGGTGTATTTCCCATGCAGCCACATTTGCGGTGTAGTGTAGTGTTGTATAAATGGCCAAAAGTACTGGCTTTCAGGTTGGTTAGAGTAAACCCAGTATTTAAACTTGTGTGTTCAAGAAAAAAAAACAACAATTCCGACAGCTAAAGATAGTGGAAAATTGCTAAAAAAAAAAATGTTTCATGTAATTGGGGTTTCGGTATAAAAACATACTGTACTGTATCCTGTCACATGTCACTACTCTTGTGGATGGCGTGTTTAATACTGACAGTGAAGGTGGTTCCGTTTTTTTTTTTAGATGTGAAATGCCACAAAACACTAACTACATTATTCAAAGGCCAAAGCATTTGACTGGAAGAAACATGAGAATTTCTGCTCTGTCCAGATTTAAACTTTCCCCTGCTGCGGACCGCTGCACTGATTATTGCTTTATGTGCTGCACGGTTTTTCTCCTGCTTCAATGAAATCACTCACTGCTAACCTCCAAAACATTCCAATCAGTAATTATGCCTCAAAATGTTTTCATTCATTTCTTTTACAGTGCCTTATTTCACGGACTAAGCTGCAGCTAGTATTTACATTTCACAAAGTCCGAGTGTGAAAATATCCAAATGTGTCTCATACTTTGGCTTTGTTATTGTAGGCAGCAGGAAGTATGAATCTGCTGTTTGTAGGAAAATCAAGCCATATATTTCTTAATAAAGGAGCAATTGCTTTTTGAAAGTGAGTTCCTCAGTTAATACAGTGTTCCCTTTCTATATCTCAGTTCTCCTTTTTCTCCCTCAGTACATCGCGGGTTTCCTTTTTTAATCCGTTCCGCAGGTTTCGCTATATCGCAATATTTTATGGAATTTTTTTTTTTTTTAATTTCCAATATTTTCATTCTTTTCTAACCTAAACAAAGTCAAGCAGTAAAATGTTAATAAATAAGTAATAAAAAATATAGCAAAACATGAACTAAAAGACATCGCCGGTAGCTGTGTTTACCTAGAGGAGATCGAACACAGCATTGTGTTCCTCACTCTGATTGGCTCATCCATCGTAGCATCTCTAAGCAGCTCCCCTTGTCTGTCCGCCACTTGTTCACTTTACTCTGCGCTGCTATACGTATAGGACGTTGCCGTAAAGGTTGTGCTCTTGTGTTTGGTGAAAGTTGACCCTAATCTAAGAAGAAAAAAAAAAAGAAGAAAGTGAACTACTTGTCATTGTGACACAGCACACAACCAAATGTGACCTCTGCTTTTAACCCATCACTAAAGTGAACAGTGGACAGCTTTAAGCTGCCCGGGGAGCAGTGAGCAGCCATATTCAGAGCACCTCAGTGGTAACTTGGCAGCTGGTGGACTTGAACCTGAAACCTTCTGGACCCAAGTCTGCTTCCTTAACCACTAATCCACCACTGCCTCCTATGCCCATGCCCAAAGATGCCTCCTAAACACTCTGAACATCTTCTCAGGCTTCTGTTGCTAAGCCCAAACAAAGACCATTCTAGAAAATATTGACACAATAGAACAAGAGTTCCAATTACTTGCTACACTGTAGAGCAGGCATGGGTAAACTAAGGCCTTACAATAAAACAAGAGTTCCAATCATTTGCTACACTGTAGAGCAGACATGGGCAAACTAAGGCCCGGGGACCCGTATGCGGCCCGTTCAGCTTTTTAATCTGGCCCGCCAAATGTTTCCAAATTATATAATTTATTTATATTATCGTTATACTTCTGCCTTGTCCCTGCAATACCCATGTTTCACCAATAGATGGCATCGGAAAATGCTAAAAACGTTTTAGCAATTTAGCATTTATGCATGACTTCTACATTCTATTTATCTTAGTTAACACTAACGCTCCAATGCTAAAAAAGTGTTAGCAATTTAGCCTTTAGCCTCTTCAATTTTAGGACAATTGTGTCCCACGAGTCAAAAAGTTTGTCCACGCCTGGTGTAGAGCAAGTAGCTTGGTTTTGGTTTTGACCTTAAACATTTGAACTTGTCCTTTGACATACTCCCTACTTATTTTAATTCTTGTTTTTTTTTTTTTAATCCATGAAGGTTTTTATGCACCATTGCCCTACTGTTTGAAATACTTGGAGTCGAACATAAGGAAGTAGGAACCGGCTCATGAAAAAAAAAAACGATGATGTAAGACCAAATCACAGCTGCTGGTCCTGGTCTGTGTCTTAAAAAAACCAGTCAATGAGATCACTGTTTGACAAGTTTAGAACATTTAAAAATACATATAAACCATGTGGTAAAGGAAATAAAAATATGTAGGAAACGATCACGAGGTTCATTCTTACTTTCATATGTTTGAAAAAAAAACAGAGCTGGATTTAACAAGAATCTACATTTCACACTTAAAGCAGACTATAAAAACTATTAGGTTTGGCTTTAAAGTTTAATGACCCCAGTCTGAACCAGCCGTAGTCACAAGTCAAATGTTTCAGCTCCCACATCTAAGTAATTGAGGAGTCGATTTATTCTCCATCAATATTTACGGTCATGCCGTCAACAGAACTTTAACTAATAGGTGTTGACAGGAAAGTGTGGGAGCCAGAAATCCTCCCTTAATCCCCGCTGTCAGAAAATAGAGTCACATCATCACGTGATCTCCACTCAAGCACCAGAAAAGTCCAGCAACAGGACATGTCCACCTTGTTTTTAAACGTATAAACCCATTTCATTTTTTTTTTTTTTTTAATTTATATAGTTTGAATTTTCCTTCAGTAGTGTGTGAGTTCTTTAGACGCCCCAACACTCCCAGCCTGTTGAGGCTGTGGGCGCTGCTTGGAATCTCATCCAAGCAATGTGGTTAGCCAAGCTGCCACACCGCCCCTACTCTCACGATGAGATGATGGATGGTCAGCACTGCTGAGGAGGAAGCCACACAATTTTTTTTTTTTAATGTCTTCTGTGCTGTTTTAAGTACTAAAGACTGCGCAGACAAGCTTGACAGTACCTGTCACTGTCTGTGTCAGAGGTCTCAAAGTAAAATGAGCCGGGGGGCCATGGCTTTCACATGTCATTTACTTGGCCACATCCATGTAATACAGAGTGCAAATATTTTTTTAACGTTCGGATTTGACTAACTAAAACTAGTTCATGAACTAACAAATAAAACTATTTATTTAGAATTGAGTGGCGCTTTGTCCCAGAGGCAATGTCTCTGTCATTGGTGTAGAACCCCAGGGTTCACTTCCTGGGCGAGTTCGAATCCCGGTTAGGGCGGTTGGTACCTTCCAGTGGACTCACCACCTGCAGGAAGGTTCAGGGGGGTTGGTACGGTGACCCGGTAACGGATAAGCAGATGAAAATGGATGGATATTTAGAATTGTCTTTTTGGCCGAACACACAACTCCTAGCACTCTTGCTTCTGAAAATTCAAACATATGTAAAAAAAAAGAAATGCAAATCTTGCGTAACCTTCTTTAACTTTGAAATAACCTTATAAATGAAATACCCGAAACATGATGCAGCGATAGTCGCCTGGAACTCTCTCTGCTTGTTGTCCTCTTTTGTTATTAAATATAAAAAATTGACATTTGACATCAAACTATTGAAATCCTGCTGTGTTAGAATTACTTTAACCTAAATTATATACTTGAACCTTTAAATATAAATGTGAGACTGTGTGAAACCAGTTTTTTTTTGGTAGATCCAACGTTTTCAAACAGTGGCTCAGACACAACTTTAACGTGTTCCAGCTCATTTAAGCCATGTGGAAACCTGGACCTGGCCAATTGAAATTGGCACGTAATCAGAAATTCCGGCAGTCGAACCGTCCATGAATGGAACACTGTGCTGTAGCCTTGCAACATGCAACCCACAAATGCATCGCTTGTGCGTATGGAAATGTTCGTTTGGTTTAATGTCCAGCAGCGTTTCCGTTCAGAAACAGACATGTTCATTTTAAAAATCGCCAGATTAAATTTGCAGTAACTGACAAATATTTGTTTATTTTTCCACTTAACCGCCAACGTCAAACAGACAGAGATCACCGTCACTGCTCCTCCAGAATGGCACAAGTTATTGTTCATTGTGTAATTATTTAAAAAAAACGCGGACCATACAAAATGATTTTGCGGGCCACGTTTGGCCCCCGGGCCTCGAATTTATCACATGAGCGAGAACATTTGTTTGTAAAATGAGAGCTTGCCAGTTGGAGCCCACCTGTAGTGCCTCAAATTTCCATCCATCCATCCATCCATTTTCATCCACTTATCCGTTACCGGGTTGCGGGGGCAGCAGCCTCCACCCAAATCACACTGCACCGTACCAACCCCCCCTGAACCTTCCTGCAGGTGGTGAGTCCACTGGAAGGTACCAACCACCCTAACTGGGATTCGAACTTGCCCTGGAGGTGAACCCTGGGGTTCCACACCAATGACAGAGACGTTGCCTCTGGGCCAAAGCGCCACGCCTCAAATTTCCTTGTATGTAAATTGTATTCCACAATGTAGCGGTTATCACCCCTGCCTTACATGCAGAAGGTCCTAGGTTTGAACCCACTACCCGCGTACTTGCACCTCCTGTTGAAGCAGATCTGCTGTTAACACAACAGTTTCCCTTGTGTGGGATCAAACACGTTTTGTGTGTGTGTGTAATAGCATATTTTGCCCCATTGCCCCTGGTTTGTTATTCTTGTCCTCCGTTGTGGTTATTTCGGTCACTCTTGTCTTGTCTTTATTGGCAGATTAAATATGACAGATTTGAATTGTTCTGTTCCTGCCCTTTTCCTTTATGGCTTACGTCTGTCTCTCAAGTTTATTGGTTTTTTTTAACGGCTTTTTAATCTTATATGTGTAGATATGCACTTTGGTCGGATGGTTTTTCCACTTCAGCTGTACAGCATATATTGGATTATGAAATTTATGGAAAGAAGTAGTCACAAAGGATATAACTGACACATGTTATTATAACAATCAACTGAGAACATTTTGACTTAAATACATTTCTTTGTTTCTTTGACTTTTTGAACAGGATCTCCTGGGTCTCGAAGAGGAACCTACAGCCAAGGTATAGCTGCTGTCCAATAATTGTGTAAAAAAAAATACCAAACGTCATTGCACTGGAGGGGCCACATCAGAGTTTGATGTTCATTAAAAAAAAAAAAAAAAAAGTACATATATTTTTTTCCTTCTTAAATTACAAAGATCTAGTTGTGTCTGTTGTAAATTACAAAAAAAAAAAAAAAAATTTTTTTTTTTTCCCTGTGGACTGGTAGTTGATCCCTCATCCAGAGATTGCGAACCCTAGATTTACTCACTCAGCTGTTTTTTAGGTTTAGTAATAATAGTATTTTGTTGAGACAATCCTGTCAGTTAAGACCGGTTTATAGAGGTAAAGATCATAGAGTTAGTAAATTGACCAATCGGGGCTCAGTCTTAACTGCCAATCATGATTATTGTGTTTTTATATCCACTTCACAAATGAAAGGAATATTTTTTTTAAATCAAAACTAAATTAAATTTGGCTCATCATCACTTTCTCTGATAAACAGGAAATGGTTGATGACACAGTAGCCAGTCGTCCAATGCTTCTACCCTTCAATTCAAGTAACAATCCACAATAATTATGTCATAGGTAATTATTTTAATAGAGAGTTGACTGACAATTGACTGACAGCCTATCAACTCCTTGATTCAAACTTTTTTTTTTAAATTACCGCCCTACTACAAACTCATTCGTAAGGAGGTGATATCCTGGAGAAAATGGTCCGTGTGTGTTCATTCCTGCATTTTTAACCTCCGTCTCTGTTTGTCTTCCAGAACAGTCCATCAAAATGTTTATCCGAGGTCGTCCGATAACCATGTACATCCCTTCAAACATCCAAAACTATGAAGATTTAAAGATGGAAACGCCCTCGGAGAAACTGGAACTGGACTGGGTGTATCCTTCTAGAAAGTTCAGCTTCTCTTGTGCATTTGTGAGGCCCGTGTTATATTCACCTACCTCACTGCGTAGTCATCTTCAGAGTTTAGCCTCCACTGTGTGTCCTCATCTGTGCGAGATGAGGCAACCCTTAGATTATAGACACACTGAGGCTGTTTATAAAGCCTGATGGCGTGTGGCATTGATACGTTAGCTACAGTGCTAAGTAACATTAGCCACTATGGTCCAGGCTTAAAGTGTCAATAGGTTTCAATGGATCCACCGAGACCAGGCGTGGGCAAACTTTTGGAGTCACGGGCCACAATTGGTCCTAAAATTGAACAGAGGGGTCGGGTCAGGAGTAGATAGATGTAGTATTCGTGTGAACTACGATAAATGATTTGGAAAGGTCATGCATAAAGACTAAAATGCTAAAATGCTAAAATGCTAAAATGCTTTTATGAATATCATATCTATTGGTGAAACGCGGGTATTGCAGGGAAAGGCAGAAGTATAATGATAATATAAATAAATTATATAATTTGGAAACTTGTGGCACTTTGGCTCAGAGGCAATGTCTCTGTCATTGTTGTGGAACCGCAGGGTTCACCTCCTGGGCAAGTTTGAATCCTGGTTAGGACGGTTGGTACCTTACAGTGGACTCACCACCTGCAGGAAGGTTCAGGGGGGTTGGTACGGTG